AAGGGCGCCATAGTACTAAAGGGATGTGAGGGTCAGGAACACAGAAGAGGGGAGTCATGCGTCGGACGGGGCCCAAAGGCTGAGGGAGAGGTAGGAAAGACGGTAGGCATGGGTGCTGCTGAGAGGCAGCCCGAGCCCAGAGACACCTAGGGTCCAGGGCAAGTGGGAGGGAGTGCTCCCGGTGATGTGGGAGACTCTGAGGGATGGGGCCCGACATCTGCTGGTCCATCAAAGCTTCTCCTTCCACTTGCGCAGTTCATTGACCCATATCGTTCTCCTTACTCGACTGATGGGAAGACAGCAGCTCAGTGAGTCCATGACCACACACCACACACACACACACACACACCACACCACACACACCACACACACCCCACACACACCACACACACACACCACACACACACACACACACACACACACACACACACACACACACACACACCCCACACACACACACACACCACACACACACACACCTGCTTTAGGAAGGGCCTGGTGGGTCTGGCCAGCAGGTGGCGCTAGAATCTCTCTGCGTGAGTTAAGCTTTCCCACTTTTGTCCACGGACAGGGCTGTGATTTGCCATGTGGAAGCATCGCCCCAGTGTGTGCGGAAGGCAAGGACGAAATGAAAGGTGTGTGTGATGTTCGGTATAGCTCCCGCAGCCATCACACACGAGAGAGACGGACAGTCCTTCCTCCTCGATGGCTTCCACACTCCCGGACCCAGAGTCGGTAGCCAGAGCACCCCACGCCCCTCCTCACACTGGGCATTTCTGGGCCTGGCTCCTTCCAGACCACTCACTTCCCAAGGGCAGGGCTGTGGCTGTACCTCCAGTACCCGGCACAGGCTCAACACCCACTATGTGTTTAGTAAATGTGTACACATAAATACGACCCTGATTTTCCTGATCAGTTTCAACTTCAATTGTCCTAGCCTGCTCTACCCTAAACTTGACACAGCCCAGAAAATAGAATTACTGTATCTGGCAAACTATCAGACTGGGAAGGGCACAAAAGTCTCCGTTAGCCGGTGTATCTAGATGCACGAGGGGCTGTTGTCACCACATTTATTACAGAGCAGAGGAGGGCCAGGCCCCAGGCGCCCAGGCTGGCATTTCCATCTCATCAAGCACAAGAGAAAAATGGGCCCCAATTTTTCAGTTCAACAAATTTGATCAGAACACCCCAAATTCCATGAAAATGTAATTACTGAAAGCTACCACAGACCAGAGAAAAAAGATCATCAAGGCCCTGGGACACATGGCCACTCTGGCCACCCGCATTACACCCTCAGGCTGAGAGCTGTGCCAACCAAGGCCGCCCAGCCTCGCCTCGCTCTGGCTTCCAAGACCACGAGTCTCAGGGGTCGGCCCTGCTGGGGGGTAAAGAGAGGGTTTTCCGTCCAATCCCAGGCTCTGGGACACTTTGAACTTTCCTCCTGCGGGCAGGAGGGAACTGTGTGGTCAGCATCTTAACAGCCTGTTGGTCCGCGAGGCCCAGCCCTGTGGCGTGTGGCCCAGTCGGCTGGGTCATGCCCCAGTTACCACCCCTCAGCCACCCAGGACACTGCCCAGAAGGAGACTGTGTGGAGAGAGAGGTGAGGCTGAGGCCCAGAGAGAGCGCGCGAGAGCGCGAGACAATCTTACATCTTGCCTGTCAAGGCCCCTGGAATGAGCCGCCCTTGTTGGATGCTAATCAGAGAAGTACTGGCCACCAGGTCCTTTCTAATACAGATTTTTCAGATTTTACAAATTGCTTTCTGAAAGTCACGAACTAAATTCTTTACGAGGGTGTTTGAGGAGGAAGGAAATGGGCTGTAACGTAGAAAAGTCCAGTCTGAGGGATTAGCGGGGCTGAGAAGGTTGGCCCCTCCCACTCTGAAGCTCCGGTCTCCATTTTGCTCACGTCGGTTTACGTGACTTGAGCACTATGTTCATACTAAATTGTCGGTGCTCCCATGGTCCCAGAGTAACTCCCCTGACTGGGAGGGGGCAGCCAGGATAAGACCCTCCAAGGCCCCTCAGTGTGGGATTCCAGGCCTGGCCCACACTTCCTACGTACAATGCTGGCCTCCTGGGGGGTCCATGATTCCCCATCAGGGGTCAAAAAAGCGGAAAACCGTAACCAGAGAGATTCCTGTGAGTGGCCGTGGTGGCCTCATGACCACAGAGCCCTTCAGGAGCCATGTCTCATATTCCCATCAGAGGGCAGAACGACTCAGCCAGTCACAGTCAGCGCAGAGCAGAGCAAGAGCTGCAGCTATCCTTAAGGACCGCCATGTCCCGATTTGCTGTGTCCTGAGAGGAACACAGGCTAGCTTACGATCACCCTCCTCACCACTGTTTTCTAAGCACCAATGCTGGCACTGGGTTGGGCACCTATCCGGAGCTCGTTACTGCCAATCCTCACTAGTCAAGGCCTTGCTAAGCAGGCATTACAGATGCAGAAAGAGCCCCTGGGTGGCCAAGAGACTGATACGAGGTCACGGCACCAAGGAATGGGAGAGCCATCATACTGGCAGTAACATATGCCTCGGGGTGCCCACCCACACACCCCACCAAAGCTGAACCCAGAGCAAGCTTTACGGAGTGGGCTCAGCCTCATAGTCACACGTCACCCTATAGGAACCCGGGAGGGTGACATCCTCATCCCCTGTAGAGCTGAGGACATGGAGGCTCTGAGATGCTCTCAGGACCTACTCAAGGTCAAGGTCAAGGGACCTGGAATGGACTGAGCTGGGAGGCAAACCCAAGCGAGCCTGACTCCATCGCCAGGACCCTTCCTGAATGCCTCAGCACCTCAGCATCCCCATGAGGTGAGAACAGTCATGGGGACACGGCGGGGGTGGGGTGGGGGTGGCGTTTGGCTCACTTGGCCCTGCTCAGATCCGGACCCTCAGCCCTGGGCACACTCCTCTTCCAGCTCCATTCTCCACCCAGCTTCCGCTCAGGCCACTAGGTGGCACTAACGAGCAGGAATGGATGTGACTGTCTCAGCCATCTGCCTGGAGAGGCCTTTTGGGGCCTCATGCTGCCCCTCTCGCCTTTGCTGTGGGTAGGTGCCCACTTCCTGCCCTTACTTATAAAGGATGACAAGCCCTGTCTTCATCAGCCCCAGGAGACAGGCTGATGAACCCATGGGATGGGGACAGATCAGGCCTTGGAGCACCAACCCCTCGGTGATCGCGATGCTGTTCCTTGCCAAACACCCCACTTCATTGCTGGGAACTCCTTCCTTCCCGTTTAATGCGTGTCCACACCCCTGCTGCAGTCCCGCCCTCCACTCCCTCCCTCCCTGCCTAACTCAGTTCCTCCTTCCCCCCTCATTCAAGCATCGCCTATTCCAGGCATCCCCTGCCCCCTCCCCTGCCATGTGGGAGCCCTCCCTGGTCTCAGCACCTCTGCACTCTGCAGCCATTGCTGGTTTTGGTTTTTTTTGCATGTGCTCCTAGTGGGAGGGGCTAAGAGCCTTTACAGGCCCACTGTCTGCCCAGGTGCCTGCACACAGTAGGCTCACAGTGAACATCCCGCAGACGAGTTAAGTGAGTTTCTCCAGCACTGAGGGTTGGCAAAGGCTTCCAGAGTGCATGTCAACCTGAGGAGAAGCAACCTCAGCGAGCAATGCCAACCTGCCCGCCCTAGGGCTTAGCAGGCATGAAGACCCTGCACCGGGCAGCATCCCCTCTTCTGCTTTCATAGTTCTGTGTGAGTTAGAGGTTGACCGCAGATAGCTGGCCTTCCCAGGGTCCTCAAACCCAGATGCGGACAAAGCTCTGGGAGCGAGGGGCCTTATAATGACAAAGGGCAGCACAGCCTCAAAACGAGGACACGGCCTTTGTTACCGGCTCAGCGGAGTGCCACCACCTGCATAGCCCACAAGCTCTTTCGAACGCCGCATACTCACAAACCCAGCTCTCGAGTGGCTTTTCCCTAGCTGGGGCCCTGGAACGAAGCAAGGTATTGGGTTTCCAAGCAGACAAAACACAAGCTGGGGGAACAGAGCTGGCCTGGGGAGGTGGCGAGGCTCTGAGGTTGAGAGGAACACAAAGGGCGGCCGGGAGACTGGGGGTGTCTGAACATCTCCTTCTCTGGGTTTCGACAACCTGGAGGCTGGGCCAGAACCCAGAGCCAAGGCCCTCAGGCTGAGCAAGTGGACCCTGGGGCCTGATGCACCATCCAAGTCACTGACCCTCCGGCAGGAGGAGCAGGCTCAAGGTCAAGAGGCTAAGTCACAGTCAGCCTGGCTGTGTGCTGGCTTTGAGCACTTCCAGGGGCTAGAGGGAGGGGTGGGTCAGGTGTCTACACGCCTGAGATTGGCTCCCACCAAGCAGCTTCTCCTGAAATGACTGACTGGCACTGAATGAGAGTTTCCAAACAAAATGAGGGGTGAGATGGTGTGCGGTGAGACCAGAGGGTCCTCACTGCTCCCTGAGGAAGGGGCCTCGACACCCCAGCAGACGTCCCAGTGGCCTGGAAGCGAGTGAGCTTCCAATGACATGTGGACACACAGCTTCAAATTGAGGACACAGAATCTTCCGTGCTATTCCCACAAATGCACTGGGTTCGACAGAATCTGGCTTTCAGGTGGGTTCATCAGATGTTGATGCTCAACAAGTCGTGTCAATCCACCTGGAGTCGTGGCTCCTGTCACGAGTCAGAGCACGCCTGACATCTGCGTCTTACAGGCGAGGAAACTGAGGCCCAGAGAGCTCTCCCCTGTGCAAGGTTCACACTGGGTGGCGAGAAGGTTGAGGCTTCTGCCAGGCTCCGCACACAGGCTGGTCTGACAGCAGGCCCGCTGACTTTTAGCTCATTTGGAGTCACTAGCTTGGTTCCTGAGAACACCCTCAATGGCATCTAGGGGCCTGAGAACCAGGGGTGCTCAAGTTTCCTGAGACCCCCATGGAAGGGCACAGCTCATTCACCACCTGCCCAGGTTGGGAGCCGGACCCCCAGGAAGGCTGACACACACAGACAACCGTGGGCCGAGGGACTTACGTGTCTGCGGAGCGGCGGTAGTTCTCAGGGCAATCGAAGGCCAGGCAGCGGAAGCCGCCCTGGATGTTGAAGCAGGTCTCGTTGATGGAGCAGTTGTGGATGCCGGTCACACACTCGTCGATGTCTGCGAGAGACCCCAAGGCAGCACGGTGAAGGCCAAGGCCACCCGAGCAGCCTCCACCCACAGCCAGGGCTGCTCAGGTCTCCTACCAGCCAGGGTCGGGGTGAGCATCGTGCCATCCTTGCCCTCCACTGGCTGCTCTCTGGAGCAGTGCCCTGTGCCAGCTCTCTTATTTATAGGCTGTTTATAGAGTATTCACTTAGTATTCACAGTCCCTGGAATAGGCATAACAATTGTATCAGCAAACACTCTGTTGGCCCTGGAAGTGCTTTGCAGAATTCTCTTTATTCTCCTAACAATTCAGTGAGGCAAGTACTGTTACTATCCTCATTTTAGGGAGGAGCTCCGAGGTTCAGTGACACGCCTAAGGCCACACATTTTGTAAGTGAAAGTGGCGGAGCTGAGCTTGGAACCTAGGCAGGCTGGCACCAAGGTCTGTGCTCTAACCAGCCAGCACCTCTCCATGGCTCCCGAGGGGCATCACCCTCACCTCACGTGTGACTCGTAACATCCTAACGAGGAAAGAGAGGAAGCTACGAGCCCCATGTTACAGATGAGCAAACCGACGCTTAATGAGATTCTACGTCATGCCCAGTGTCCGAAGTGGGTCATGTCTGGGCTGGGCCGTGGACCTGGGGAGCCACCCCCCAGGAGACATCTGTTAAGAGGTGCCAAATGCCTGACCTTGGTGGCAAAAACAACACTGAGAATCTCAAAGGCTCAGGCTCAGGAATGTGTTTTTGCTGTGTCTGGCAGGACCCCAGGCTGCGGTGAGGGAGCCCGGCCAGGAGCCAGAAAGTCATCTGCTCCATCAGAAATGTGAAAACAAAGCGACTCCCACCCAGAGCTCAGGACCAGCTGAGTGGGTCCCACCCAGGAAATGCCACAGCTGCTGCCTCAGATCAAAGTCACCTTCTTCATGACCAGAAATGACATCTGCAGAACCCGGGGGACTCTGGAGCCTCTGGGCCACCAGCCCTATGAGGGGGCTCATGAGGAAGGGGCTGCACAGACCCCATGGGACTCAGCTTCTGGGCCCGTTCCTGGAGGTGAGTCAACCTTTCCGTTCCAGGATCGTTCATTCACAAATATCTAGTCAGCACCCACTCTGTTACCAAAAGAACGGTTACAGGTCGCAGGATGACTCCTAGAGTGTTCTTAGAGATGGGAGCCGAGTGGCCCCCCTAATTTAGCCCATGCTGGAGCTGACCCCTCCCCCAGCCCCGGTGGAACCCTCACAGCCATAGTGTCCATATATACAGAGACCCCGGGTTGTCACACGCCCAGACCACACCTTCCCCTGGCCTGGGCGTCTTGGCACAGAGGCCGCTGCCATCTGCTTACTGTTGGCCCTTAATGCCCGGCAGGGTTTGGCCCACAGCAAGGGTTTGTTGGATGACAATGAAAGATTGAACCAACGGCACTGGTCTTCGGGGCACAGACCTCACATTTCCTCCCTGGCAGACATCTTCCTGACGGCTGTCATCCCCTGTTCCAGGCCCCTCAGGGATGCCGAGAGCAGGGATGGAGGGCTCAGAACCCCTGAAGACAGGTGTGCTGGGTGGGGTAGGTGTGAGGGACCGGGGTGCACGCAGGCCTCCCCTCCCCTTTCCAAATGCACCCCATCTGTAGTGTGGCCCCTGAGTCAGGGAAGCACTTCCCCCCAGCTGGGGACTGCCTGGCCTCAAACCCCCAACACTGCAGAGCCCCAAGTACAGCCTGTGCGACCCGGGGAGTTCCACCACACTCACCTTGGCAGTTGCGGCCATTGGGGGCCAGCCTGTATCCAGACGGGGGGCAGCTGCACTGGAAGCTTCCAGGGATGTTGACACAGCGGTAGGAGCAGATGTGGCCGCCGGTGGGCAGGGCGCACTCATCGATGTCTGCGATGGCAAAGCCCACCCTCAGCATCCTGTGTGGACCCTGGCCGGGCCCCGTCACCCCAGTGGGTCAGGCTGGGGCTTGGGAGGGTAGCTGCCCAGGGCCAGCTGGACATAGGAAGCCTCAAAGTGCTGGGGCTGTGGCAGCCTCAGAGACCATCACGTCAGAAGGGGAAACTGAGGCCCAGAGAGGGTAGGATCTAGCCGAGGGCCACACAGAAAATTCCTGGTGTGAAGTGTGCATGTGTCGGGAAGGCGGCAGAACAGGGGGCTGAGCAGAGGGGATAGGCCAAGGGCTTGAGAAGGACACCCAGGACAGGTGCAAGCATGACCTAATGCTCCTTATTATAACTGAGCTAATAAAGAATATCCCTTACATGCAAATAGTAATAATCTGACCAGTCGCCCTTTAAGCACCTCGCTGTGCCAGGCACTGTACGAAGCAGCACTCTGAGTCGGCACCAGGTTTCATCCTCTAATAACCTAGTGAGTCTGGGGTGAACTCCTGTGCTACAGGGGAGCAGGGCCGAGGCTGGGTGAGGCAGAGCTGCGAGTCAGGGCCATGGGCGGCCCCTCCTCACCCCTGCGTCACACAGCACCGCCAAGCCCCGCTTGGGGCCCCTGCACACACGGCAATCACCACTGGTAAGCGTTATTAAAGAAACATTTGGTGAGTGGCACTGTCCCTTTCCAAACCTCACTGTCAATGGTGGGTAAAGTGCACCCCAATAAATCTCAGTTAGAGGGAAAAACAAACCACCTGCCAGCCTGAAAGGGCACTAAGCAGAAGGGGGTGTGGAGGGTGCTCTCCCGTGAGCGGGTGTCCTCACCTTCGCAGGTGACCCCGTCCACGTCGCTGAGCTGGTATCCTCGGCGGCAGTAGCACTGGTAGGAGCCGTAGACGTTGGCACACTCCTGGCTACAGGGGCTGCTGTCGCACTCATTTACATCTGAAAGAGAGGGTCCCTGGGGGTCACTACTCCCAGCCGAGCCCCACAACCCTGGCAGGACAGTGAACACAGCACCTCCCTCAAGTTCACACACAGAGAGGCGGAGGTCCTGGGGTGCGGGGCTGGGACCTGCATGGGGTCTCCCCCAGGGACAGAGGCTCCCCCTCTAGGTCCATGGCTGATGGACCCAGAATCTCTCCATCCCCATCACACTGCCTGCTTCACGCTGCACCACCTCCCGGACGACGACTAACAGCCTCCAGCCTCGGCTCCTTCCAGTCCAGCCACCACCGCCACCAAGGTCCCAGAGTCAGTTCTAATTCTCAAGTGGAAATCTGATCATGTCCTCCCCGCTTTACCTCCCAGACAACATCCTCTGCAGACGAGGGCGGCCCTGCACGATGCAGGTAACATGCCAATACGCAGTCCTCCAATGCTCGGGACTCACCAGGCCACTCAGCAACTCTGGGCTCCTGTCATCTATTCCTTTTGGTGAGAGCAGGGATGGGCATACGTCCGGCCCACCACTTGTTTTTGTAAATAAAGTTTTATTGGCACACAGCCACGCTCATTCATTTACCTCAGTCTATAGCTGCTTTTGCCCTACAATGGCACAGTGGAGTGGTTGCAACAGACTGTGGCTGGAGAAGCCTAAAATATTTACTATGTGGCTTTTAGAGGAAAAAAAAATGTTGCCAGCCTCTGGCCTACAAGTCTCTTCTCACATTTATTTACCGCTAATTCTTAGTAGGGGAGGAGGGGTGAGCAGCTGAGCACGTCCAATAGCCTCTTACCCTACGTGTCATCCTTGCAGCCCCCACACGGCCAGCCTGGCTGCATCTGTTCACCTGCTCACCTCTACCCAGTGTGGTTCCTCATCACCTCCTGGTGACACTCCCTGAAGGCAGGAGCCATGTTCTTGCTACACGCCTCGGGGAGAGGGGTGCTTTATAAATGCTTAGTAGGCTAACACGGCAAGGCTGACCAGGCCCAGGCTTTGTGCCTACAATATTGCTCACTAATGTAGATACGAATGTCTAATTTTCAATCATTTAGAGGTGACCAGGGATCGCACAAGCCATGAACGATAACAACAACAATACCAGCTGTCTCCATATCGCCAGCACACCATCTCACACTGGGCATGTGACAAGCTCTTCACCTGCTTCATCTTGTCTCGTCCTCCTGACCCCCTAAAAGGTGGGTCCTAATACCCCCATTTTACAGATGAGGACACTGAGGCCTAGAAACACTGAGCGACTTCTTCAAGGCCATAAAACTAGCAGAGCTGGGCCGGCCGAGTGGTGCGTTGGTTAAGAGCTGGCTTGGGACGCCAGAGGGCCCCGGTTCGGATCCCACATATGAGGGCCAGTGACACTGCCCTCCACAGCTAAGATGCTGAACA